TTGATATCGGTATCGGTGATCGGAAACAAAAACCCTGATCGGTGCATCCCTAGTGTCTACGTCAAGATTCAGGGTGGTTTCCTTTGGTTCAAACGGGAAAATGTTCAGATGAGATCTGATCTCTCCTGTGGTGAAGACAGGAACTCAGCAGGACTGTGACGTACCTTCCAACCCAACAACTCAGCGAGAGCCAAGCAGCCATCGTCACACGTGCTGATGTGAGCCACATCTCTGGAGAAAAGAGTGTGTTTTAGTTCACCTGACCAAGAAGCACATCATACATGACACCTGGAGGTTTACCAGGAGAAAAGTAGTGTTTGAGTCTAAATAAATAAATGTTACATTTATGTCACCATACTGCTCTAACAAGTCCTGCCTCAGCTTCCGTACTCAGGAAACCACAGAGTCACGGCGATATCACAATAAGCAAAGTTGACCCAAAGATCCAGAACCTGCTCTGTTCCACTCATCTATACTGGTTCTGCTCAGCTCTCAGGGATGTTGGCTGGCCCAGAGCAGAACCTTGGTTCTGTTGTAAATCTGTTTGGATTTTGGTTCTTGTTTGTGACCCAGTTTCGTCCAAACCTCGGCTGTCAGATGGATCCACATCAGACTGTAGAAAACTGTGGCCTACAGAGGAGGTCATGGCCCACCCAGCCCTCCACCACCGTGCTGACAGTATGAGCGGTGTGGTCAGTCCACATTAACGTCCGGTTCACATCTCTGGGTCACACCAGCTGCGAAGCGGATCGCTCACGAAATTTGTGCGCTGCCCGCTGCTCCTCCCTTCACATCAGGCAAAAATTTTCAACGAGTGCTTCTGATCATGCCGATTGTTTTCCAACCCCCCCACCCCACCCTTGCTGTGTGTGTGTGTGTGTGTGTGTGTGTGTGTGTGTGTAACCAGTTAGCCCTGCTTGCTGATATCACAAACTGCGCTGATCCTGCTGCTGTTTTGTGGACCAGTTCCTTTCTAAATGGTTAATGTTTGTGTTACAATGCTGTTGATTGGTTGGTTTAATTAAACATATTTGTTTTTATTAAATCCATCTTTTGCTGTAAAAACTGTATTTAAAATTCTGGAAACACTATGTTTCTCCGCAGGAGTGTGTGTGTGTGTGTGTGTGTGTGTTCATTTTCATCTCTCTAGTCTGTTTAGACACACAGAAATGATCACATTTATCAAACGCGGTGTTTTATTTAGAAATTTTTCTTTATTTTGTTAAATTTACCAGCCTGCCTCTTCTGTTTTGGTTGGACTTCCTGCCAGAATTGACGCGGCTCACAAAAGAAATAGAGCACACGCCAAAACGATCGCGGCGCGTCTCGAGCCTTCGCAACGCTTAGCAGCAGATGTGATCGCGACCGTAGGTTAACAGGGCGGCGTAAACGTCTCTGGTCTCATCTGTCAAACAACCCCAGCCCTGTCTTGATACCCCTACTGCAGCCTAAGCTTTATCAAGTGCACTAGGAGTTCGTGGGTTTGAGTGCGTAAGTAAACAAGTGTGCAAATAACTGCAGAATTAGAGCAGTGAGGATTGCATCATCGACCTGCACCACCGTGTTGTACCTCCATGACTTCCAAACAGGAGCTGGTCATTGTTGGAGCTAATTGGCTGCTGGAATCGATATTAAAACTGCAACTTTCCTATTAAATTGTGTTATAAGATTTATACCGTTTGATTTGAGGATGAAATGACATGCTGTTGTAATTTTTGTGTGTGTGTGTGTGTGTGTGGGTAGGGGGTGGGGGGATGCTGAGTATAAAAAAAGTCAAATCAACAGAGTTGAATTTGAGTATTTTCTAAAGAAATGAAGAATGGTGGCGCCCCCTGGTGGTGAAATGTTACGCTGAGACAAATGTTTCATGTGAACTTTTGAGCTTTGGTCTCACCTGTAGGCTTTGTCCGAGTCAAAGTCCATCCCTCCTCCAAAACCCAACAACCCCAACATGGGACCAGCCTGCAGAGACACCATCAGCAGGAATCTGTCAGTGGGGACGTCCTCTCTAACAGCACTGTGTGTGTGTGTGTGTGTGTGTAAAGGAGGAGCTCACCTCTCCAGCTTTTTCCATGTTAATGAGAAGTCTGGGGCAACTTTTGGGAACTCTAAAAGACAAAAAAGACCCAATGAAGTGACTCTGGTGCCGGAGAGTGGATGTAAAACCAGCTGAAACGTGTCTGCTTTACCTGCTGACTAAACTGGCAAACGGCTGCACCTGCAGAGACGTTCCCATGACGATGAGCAGGTCACAACGAGGGAAGTCCTGACAGGGAGACAGATTCATTTCAGCTGAGTGGTTCCGCTGTGAGTGCACGAAGCAGATCACCATTTACCTGCTTCACTGAAGTGAAGAAACGGGAAGGAAGACTCTCTCCAAAGAAAACAATATCTGAGCAGCGAGACAAAACTCGTCAGTCACGACGGATGTTCAGGAGGCTCACAGGAGCTGGGCTGACTCACCTGGTTTCACCAAACTGCCGCATTTCTCACATTTAGGAATCGCATCGGCGAAGATTTTTTCTACACAACACAGAGACGATGTTCAAACATCTAAAAAAGACATCAGTCATCCCTGTGAAAACTCAGAGGCACCTTTCATCCAGTCCAGGGTGTACTCTTTGCGGCAGCAGAAGCTGACACAGTGTGAGGTGTAGAATGTTCCGTGGGCCTCAATCAGGTCCTCGCCCTGCAGCCCGGCCACTCGCTCCAGGGTGTCGATGTTCTGTTCAGACACAAACAGCAGCAGAAAAGTTAGGCCACGCGGCTACGGAGAATGCTTTTACTCCTCCTTTTCACGTGAAAACACACTGGCACAGCAGCTTTTCAAAATAAGAGCATCAAATGACTGCTTAAACATAAATTGTCACTCTGCAGCATGCACGAGCCTCTATATTGTGATTGGTGTTCACGTTACCAGGACCGCTTTGCTGCCGTGTGGTGTCTGTGACTGCGGGAAAAGGGCTGCACGCGGAACGTTTCGCTTCCGCGCTTCTCCCGTGAGAGCGGGGGCGCTAGAATTTCAGCCGTGGTGCAGCGCCACGCCTGATCCTTTGTAGGAGAAACACTGAACACCTTTGTAAACTTGGTGCTTCTACTATCAGTCACGGAGTCGGAGAAGAGCAGCTACAGGAGCCCGGACGTCCAAACAAGAAGTAAGACTGTGTGGCACGGGCCTTGTCAGGAGCGTTGATGCCTGCAGCTGGAGCCGTGTGGAGGAACGCCTCTAAACACCATCACACAGATCATAAATAAAACAAACGGATATCTTTTTTTGACGAGTCATCCACCACCAGTGTTGCCTTTGCTCTGCCACCTTTACCTGTGCTGACACCGACACAAGGTGCATGTGAGTAGGAACGAGAGAATTATCATCATTCAGGAGGAACTACAACGTAGCATATTCATGGAGCCAGAACCCATAAATAGAGACGTTCACCTGTCTTACCTGTGTGTAGCAGCGTCTCAGGAGTCCCTGGTCCTTCAGCATCTTTATGAAGTAGTGGCAGATTGTTGGCTGAAGTAAAATGCAGGAAAAAACAAACATCAGGACTTTCTGATGAACGTAAACTCCAAGCTCCTCATAAGCCGTTACCTTAAACTGTCCGGGGTAAAGCTCCCTCGCTAGGGCGAAGAACGGCTCAGGATGTTTCTGACAAGCAAGGAGGAAATATGTGTTCACCCCAAAGATATAAATGATGCTCTAGGCATGTGCAGACTTTAGTCTTTCACAAACCTTAAAGTAATCTATCTGAAAAATGGCCTCTGGGTAGGGCAGGTTGTATTTCTGCAGGTTTGCATACAGGCCAGTCCCTGGTGAGCGGAAGTCTGGGATCCCCGCAGCTGTGAGGCAGAATCAAACCAAATATCGACATCAACACTGAATAAAAGTCTTTAAAATCACATCTGATGATGGACTCGGAGGAACTCACATGTTGATATTCCTGCTCCAACCATGCAGACTATGTTTTTACCTGTTTGGACGCAGAGAAACCTGTGATGCCATCACTTACAACTGGAACCAGAGTAAACCCGTTTACGCAGATCCTCACATTTGCCACTGTTAATGTACCGCGCCACTCCGGCCAGAGTCAGCTCATCCAGAACTTTCTCAGCCGAGCCGAGGCCCAGGGTGCTGGAGAAGAGGCTGCGCAGGAAGTCCACTGGTAACAACACAGGAGGACACGAGAGCAGTCACCAGCTTGGCCTTTATTTCCAAAAGCATCCCATAAAAATGCTGAAACTTCAAATCTGAAGCATGAGTTCAGAATATTTCTGATCGTGCAGACGAGTTGACAAATAAAGGCAAACACAGTTTCTCTATTTTGTAAATGTTAAGATTTCACAGGAAAACAGTGGATTTAACTATTTAATTATTAATGTTATTTAGTAACATGAAATGGTTTGTTTAGCCGGTTTCATCATATTGATTAATAAAAGTAACCCAGCTTTTTTCACAATGAAAACAAAGTATTGCCAGTAAAGAACTAGAAGTGTTGTCTGGTTTGACATAAGTGGTGAGACGCAGCATCCAGCCTAGCTAGCGCAGCTACGATCAACCAGGACTACGGAGGGCCTGCTTAATAGGCCAGGGTGATTAATCGATCCACCTTTAGTTGGAGGAGGTTGCACGTGTTAAGACTCTTCAAGTTGAATCATTTAGGAGAGAAATATTATGATGGTTTTGATATTTCTATAATCGATGCAAAACATGTTTATGAAGCAGTTTGCACTAAACCCTTCTCACGTGAGGCACGCTCAACTGTTTTATTCTGGACAGTTTCAGTACCTTCCAGAATGAACCCTTTCAGGGCGCTGTCACTTTAAAAACAACAAGCTGAGCTCCCCCTGACAGCTCAGGTAATCGTCTCGTTGTGGCGTTGTGAGTCCAGCTCATCTTTATGTTTGTGCCATAACGTGATGACAATCACCTCAGATCAGAAACCGGAGTTTACCAACAAACGTTTTCACACAGCGATGTAATGCCATCTGAAATGGTTGTTGCAAAAAAGGTGAAGCAGAAGATGAGACAAAACAGAAAAGTGTGTCTATGCTGCCTGTGAAGAAATGAAGTCAGAACTAATCTATGCATCATCACTAGTGAGGTGTGGTACCACTAAAAGGGTTTCAGGTACTTTCTGTATCTCCTGCAGCTTCTTCCTCACTGCTGTCCTCAGACTGCTCCTGCAAAACAACAAACAACAACATTATTTACTGGAGTTCAGAAACACCCCAACAGCACGTCAGGGCGAGCCTGGCCTGCCAGACTCGTCCTGTTGAATTCTGCACAAAGAGTCTGGGAACTCACAGGCAGAGAGGCACACGAGGGGCGGGACTAGGCAGCTCAAAATAACCAATCAGAAAAAAGACGAAATGCCGACTGTACCGCGCGACGCTGTAGTTTTCTACCTGCAGTAAAAAATGGCGTCTGGCAATGGCGCAAACATCTTTCTTTAGAAGAAAGGCTTTTAGCGCTTGTCCAAGTCATTTAGACCAGAGGAAAGAGCCGCAGCGAACTCCGCTTCAGTCGACATGTTTATGACAAACTCGGCGTTGTGGTGTGTGACGTATGCTACTCAGCGCTGATTGGCTCGGTTAGAATTCTCAGGGGGTGGGGTTATTTCACTTCTGCTTCCGGTCAACAACAAGATGGCGCCTGTGCTTGGCTTAGCCACAGTCACCGGCCATTTTTTCAAACTTTTCTCCACTAACCTCCTCTTTTCCACCTTGCTCCTGTCTGCGATCCTCTTCAGTGGTGTCCCCGCTACCATCTCCTATGATCGCCAGACTCTTTAGTCCTCACGATCGCCCAAGACGCAACGAGGACGTACCATCCTGTTTGTTTACCTGAGTGGCGCACTGGCCCGGAACCAATCGACGGTCCCGAGCTCCCCGCCTCCGGCAATGTTTGTCCGGTCCCGGGAAAACGTCGGAGGAAAAGAGGTAAACGAGCAGGAATCCAGGTGAGAATAAGACTTCTCTTAAAGCGTGGTTTATCTGGTAAACATCGGCGCGATCTTCTAGCTTCTTGTCCTTTGTTTGGTGACCTGAGCGCCACTTCCACATTCCCGCCAGGCCGCGTTGCAGCGCGGTTCATCCGTCCAAGTTTTTTAAGGTCGCTTTATCAGAGTGCTCAGACACGTGAAAAGAGAGTTACAGTAGTCTAAGCGTGAGGAGATGAAGGTGCGGATAACTGTCTCAAGTTCAGAGCGGGACAGAATGGGACTCAGCTTAGCAACGTTCCTGAGATGGAAGAAGGAAGAGCGAATAAGAGAACTGACATGAGATTCCAGGGTGAGAGCTGGGTCAAAGGTCACGCCAAGATTCCTGTCAGAGCGTTTGAAAGAAGAGTGAAGGAAGCTATTAAATGGGAAAGACCTACATTAAATAGAAGAGGAAGCACTGGGTTTCAACTTTCTACCACCTATAATGCAGCTTTGACTCTAATTCCCAAACAGTTTTAGTCTAGGTCACCGCCTCCTACATCTAATCAATACAACTTCCACACAATAGAGGCTAACGACTCCAAAAGGAGTATGGAGGATGGGTATTCATAGGTAGTTTCTACTCGCTAAGCAGTGATACACAGCTGTGGTTTATATGCTTGACTCTCCCCTACACCTGTCAGAATTGACAAAGATGAGAAGCGAAACATCTTTAAGAAACTAAAGGAGTCCCGTTGCCTTCATTAGGAGCTACTTTGGATTTCTTCAGGAATATAAAACTTCCAGCAGAACAAAGGTGGTGAAAACACCAGACAATTGAAGTTAAATGCACAAAATGTTCAAGGGGTGGGAGAAATGATGGACCTGTGGGAGTCGCACATGTGGCCCACCTCCAGACACCAGAAACCTTTATTAGTAGTAGTAAACATTGTATTTAAGCTCCAGATGTTCTAGGTGCATTCTTATCTCCTATTGTGTATACTGAGACATCTGATTGTTTGTTTGTTTTTTTTTTTTGGGGGGGGGGGGGGGGGGGGGCGTTTACAGTCAAAGGGGGAGACGTGGAGCTCATGCAGTCATCTGCTGCTTTCTTCATCACATCTCCTCTCACCCACGGGTCGGAGATGACCAAAACCATCCGACACACCTGGTGGTCCGGCCTCGCGGCTTGTAACCGGGTAAAACACCCAGACGCCTCGCTAACAACGACAACACAGAGGTTCAGCACTTCGTCAACTTTAGTCTGAACATAATTCCCGGACGTTTTTCTAAACATATCAATTGACTCTAAATGAGTGTTTTTCTTCTCTCGACGTGTCTTCCTTTGGTTTCGTCTCCGTGGCTCCACGAAGGCGGAAGAGCTGCTACAGGCCACCGGGTTCCCACCCATCGACATAAATATACGTTCTCACCACGAGTCTCACCTGTTCTTCGGGTGAAACCTCCTCTTCTACTTGGTTGGGAAAATCTGCGATAAAAAACAAAACGTGTCAAGTAACCTCGACTGACTAGTTAGCTAGCGCAGCGATGCAAGTTATTGTTCGGACATGACAGCTGCCCTACCTGATGCATCAGACATCTATCCGTCTGTGGACACGTAACAGCACTAAATGTAAAGCCTTTAATATTAATAAATGTTTTCAGGCCTCAGCTGTTGGCTCTACTTCCGCTCCGTATTATTTTTGTCCGTCATAAATAGCGTCCGAGTTCGTCATGAACCCGATCATGTGGTTCCTACTCAGGTTAACAAACCCGAAAATGTAAGCAAAAAAAAAAAAAAAATGCCACCACGGGAGATTATAATTTATAGTACAGATATTATTAGTATCTGAAAATGAAGAATAAACTCTACAGAAAACAAATATCTTTACACACAGAGGTGTGTTTGTCCAGCTGGAGCTAGCCAGGTGCATCTTCACCGCTCTGCTCTGGGCTGTAACTCTGATGCAGCAACGTCTCTCTGGATCATTGGCTTTAGTTTTATCATTCAATCTTCTACTGTCAGGATTAGATATATAGACAGCCAGACTATAATGTTCAATATGAAAATAGAGAAAAATGCTGGACGTGCTGCAGAGGTGTAAGAAATTTTATCTGGTGCTCTTCAGCCAAGGGATCCACATGAATGTTGGGCAAAAGGAGATCTGAGGCGCTCAGGAGATGCAACATCAAAAAGCCTTTATTGGCTACGAAATTTCCAGGTCTTAATTGAGAATTGGACTTTGCTCCTTTTTTGAAATTCTATGTTTTCTTACCATATTTACTTGTTTTTCCTTTTTCTCAATTCTCTAAGCGTAATTTAACATGTGTAAGTATGTCTCCTTACAATAGATTGTTTAGAATCTAAAAGTGTTTTTTGTGCGATATTGGTCATCCAATCATGATGCTGCCTGCCCGCTCAACTTCAGCAGATGTCACTGATTGGCCTTCTTAACATGGAAGTGAGAAGGCCCCGTGGGCTGAAACGCGTCGGCGCTTATGTTTCTAACTATTTTAGCCATGCACCAATAAAGGCTTTTTGATGTTGCATCTCCTGAGTGCCTCAGATCTCCTTTTGCCCAACATATAATGTACAATAACAGATTTATTCATCTGAATTTTGAATAGAATAATCTTTATTAAGCAAATGTACAATCAAGACCACAAACGAAAACTCTGCAAAGACAAAAATAACATTTAAATGATACAGAAAAGAGCTTCTTCATATTCATATTCCCATGATGGAAACAGGAAGTGATCATCTCAAACCTAAACAGCAAATAATCTAAGAAACATGGGCAGTTTGTCTATCCCACCCTTTTTTATTTATCTGTATTTATTTTTTTGTGTTCCCTCATAAGTCATAAATAAAAATATACAAATATTATAGCTGCTGTCCCATCGATCTACTGCTGCTGCCCCTGTACACGCTCCTCCTCCACACACACCTTATCAGCAGGTCTCAGTCTGTGGCCATAACCATCAGCTATGATCTGACAGTGTGGCAGCATCTCCTCCAGCAAGATGATCACCAGCCCGGGATTCTGAAGCCTCGGGAGGGATGACACGTTCAGGTGCTTCAGTCTCCTGAGCAGAAAAACCAAAAACATGTTCCAGTATTGTTTATTATTTATAAATTAGACTCTGCTATGAGTTTAGGCTCTTTACTTGAGATTTTTAAGTGTTGCCAGGCCGCCTGTAGTGATGAGTGGACAGTGAGAGATATCCAGCTCCTCCAGAGAGTCCTGCAATACATGGAGTTTAGCCAGGAACCAGTCGTCCACCTCAGGACAGCCCTGAAGCTTTAGTGTCCGTAAATGGTGCTGATGCTCTGAAAACACACAAATATTTCATTATTACTCAGACATTTCTTATACATTTCATTACACTTGTGATGTTTTAAAGCCACACACCCTCCTAAAAGATGCTTTGCTTCCCTAAATGTGGTAACAGCTGGGAGATCTTACATTCTGAACTGTTCTCAACCCTGAATAAAAAACATTTTGTTGACTCACTGTGACCTGTTTAATGATTTACTCTGCAGTTGAATTAAAGGCTACAGAAGAGGCGACGGCCAGTGCAGGAGCTCATTACCCAAATTAAACAGTCCGCTGTAGTTGGTGACAGTGTGGCTCAGGTCTACTTCCTCTAGAGGCGTGTCTTTGTGATTCAAAAAATCCCAGCTGAACTTCCCTCTCTTGTTAGCGCGGAACCAATCCGAGTGTCCCACAAACCTGAGGAAGTAGCACAAATCTCAGCTTCTGTTCCCACAGTGTGCAAGTGGTCACGTTCAAGATCAGCACAATCAGTCAGAAGTTGCTGTTAAGTCTTAAAAAAAAGAGAAAACTTTTGAGGCACTTACCTAAATCCTCCCCCCAGACACAAAATGTAATGAGCAGAGGCTATATCAGGCCCATAAAGCGTATGGGTGTAGGCGTAGAAGCTGGGAGAGAGCGGACACAGTGATGGACGTGTCAGTGTATGCTTTAACCTATCACGGCATTTTCATGTTAGTCAGGAACACGATCAGATCAGATTAGGGAAAGATTGCATTTGACTAATTCCCGTTTTAGATGTTACAGCAGACGATGCTGAATATTTCAATATGAAGATCAGATGGAGAAACCAGCTGATAACTCTAGGTCCTCATTAACCCCCTTACACATTCTTCTTCTGGAGCCGGTTCCGACCCTGCTGAGACCTCCAGTTCAGGAACATCTCTACATCATAGAAGTGCTGCGTGAGGAAGCGCAGGAGCCTGGAGAGGAGAGGAGACGACACTGGGCCGGAGCTCTTCTGTCGCCTAGCAACAAGGAGTCGAGCAGAGCGCTGGTAACATCTGTGAACACACTACACACACGGAGGGAGGATGATATACGCGTGTCCTGATGTGCTCAAATACAGCCAATAAGTTAGTTTAAAGGAGACGTTCGTTCTAATAACTGGTTCCTTATAACCACGGATGCAAAAATAACTATTTATGTAAACCACAGGGCTGAAAACACATCCGTTACACTGAAAGTTACTGAGTGGTGTGAGAAAACATCCTAGCAGCCGTGTTCGAGCCAAGCTACAGTTAGCTCGTTCGCTCCGCCACAAGACCGGAGACTGAGATTAAACTTCGGACCGGTAACACGTCCAGAAGCGGTCTGAAATGGTGTCACCACTTTGTTCGAGTGCTAGCGTTTAGGAGAAATCTGAAGGTTAACTCACCAAAGCGAACATGTCTGCTGTGGGGTTATGTCTGTGGTTTACCCGGGGGATTTAGAGTGTAACACCAGTGCGATGGGGGAAGTGACGTCAGAGCCTGTGTGAAGTTCCACTGTGACTAGGACCTGTGTCTGCTGATGCAGCGAGTGAGAGTTATAAAATAAAGATTCCCGGTAAGAGGGTTTCAAGTTCAACAGATCATGTTGTGTCGTTTGTAAAGAGTCCGAGAAGAAGCAGTGCAGACCACACTCCATGCTAACAGCTCCATGCGACATGCTAACAGATCCATGCAGACAGTTCCATGCTACATGCTAACAGCTCCATGCAGACAGCTCCATGCGACATGCTAACAGGAAGAAAGCCTGTTCTAGTGGGATTCAAATTTCCCCATTTACCTTAAATATGATAATGTTTGGAGTGTTTTTGAAAGAAAAGAAAGTTAGTTATGGTGTTAATGTGTTATTAATTTTATGTAAACAGTTTATACATAAATGTCGATTTTTTAAGACCAAACCAACACTAGCCTATTGGAGAAATGACTTAAAATTATTATTTAAATCTTTGAATTTAGTTAAAAAGAAAAAGGCTGGTTTGTTTATTTCCTTTGTAGAAGATTTTGAGTTAGTAAGTCAATAATCTATTACTTAGATGACCCCAGCTTTAGATGTTCTTTTTCTATTGTTTTCTTTTTCATATACGTGAAAATGTTGAATATGTATGCATGTAATGATTATCTTTTGAATATATAATGTAAGGTGCATTTTGTTTGTATGTTACCTTTTCTAATAAAAAAAAAAAAAAAGTAAAAAAAAAAAAAAAAAAAAAAAAAACAGGAAGAAAGCCTGACCTGTCGAGAATGAGAGTTTTTGGATCAGTCTGTCATGCATACTAACAGGATAAGGAAAAGCTAGACTCCCGGAGTGAAAAAGTCCAGCCCAGCATATCTGGTTCATTTTCCTTACACTGGAAATATACTTAAATGTAGATTGGTGAAGTTTTAACAAAGACAACAGTGGAACATTCAACTCAAACAGACTGTAAACAAACACCTTGCAGTGATGGAAAACGGGTTCCTCTTACATGAAATAACCAATCGTGGAAGAGCCCTTCCAGCCAATCAGAGGCAAAAAAAAAAAAGGCGGGACTTTCCTTGGACATCCTACGATTCCAAATAACGCGCACTGGAGCTGCCGTAGTGGCCGGCCGCCATTTTTGATGGGTCTCCCCAGTGCGTTAATTTCTACTGAGGAAGGTGTTTTCCAAACTGAAGAACAAATTTCATCACGCTTATTCAGACACAATTTATGGTATGATAATTAAAACATCAACATCAGCAGACACAATATATAACTTATAAAAATATAAAATCTTGTCAGGGAGGCTAGAAAGGTCACTAGTAATCCCACGTGATCTGTTTTCAATAGTATGCCAGCTGCTGAAACCGTAGGCTGCCCAAAACCCGGCAAAGTTGCTCACTCATTGACTTTGGAGAGTGAGAAGACCCGTCCAATATGGCGGCGACGTTACGTGTTCTTGGACATACTCGATTTCAAATAACCCGACCGCATCTGATGGCCAGATGTTGTTCTCCTTTTCACCGCTAGATGTCAGTCAATGCATCTTCCTGATCCTCACTTAGCAGATAAAAAAAAAACTAAATATAATTTTGATTAGGATTATGGGTGTTTTTCTGTTTGCATTTGTATTTTTTGACTGACACCCCTGTTGTAGTAAAATATATTTATAGTGCTTATTACTTATTTATTTGTGTTTATTTATTGTAAATGATAATAAAATCATCATTTATAATTCACAAGTACGAGCAAAAGGAGGAATTGGACATCCTCCACACTGGAACTGACGCCGGGCAACATAAAGTTCCTTAGCAGTAGCTCAGCAGGGAGAGCAGGTTGGAGGATCCATCTTCCAGCAGAGAACGAGACTGTTGTGTCCTTAGGCAAGACACTCAACCCGCCTTGCTTCTACAGAGCCTTAATAAAAAGCATTCTCTGCTACA